GGAACTAAAATAATAACAAATTATATATTTTTTGTATTTCTACCTCAAAATAATATTCTTTCTATTAATAAAAAAACATATTTTTAAATTTTATTGATTTAGAACTATCTAATTTTAATAATTTTATTTTACTATTTAAATTTTATTAATTTGAAACTATTCACCTTTTTTTAAAATTATTTAATTTATTATTAACAATTTATTACATCAATATATTATTTTTACAAATTTTTATATCTAAAAACATAAACAATATTACAAAAAAAATATAAATAATATAAATAGTTATTTTAAATGCATTTCATTAACCTTTAGTGAAGAACAATACAAATCTAAAGTTTGTATCCATGCAAGTTCAAAGTTTGATCACTTCTAAAATAAAATAAATCAACTTATAGTTAAATTATAACATGCTCAATTATAATTATAAATAAAATAATACCTCATGTTAATTAACAAACAATAAGAAAATAGGTACAACACAGACCAAAAAAGAAAGTGGAACCAAAAAGAATAAGTGAGAACAGGTGAAAAGAATTGTATATAGGTGATCATTAATAGCACCATGTGTTATCAAATTTCACCTTTTTCAAAAAAGAAAACATCTTACCATTTCTAATGGTGAGACTTATGATGATGTGACAAAATTATTTCTAAAAAAATTATTTCAAAATATTTATATTTTAATATGTAGTTTTTAAAAAATAATAAAAATCAATAAGCTAACAATTTAATGCTTTTTATCTTGTTGCCCCTCATGTACATGTACATTGAAAACCATAGTGACAAGACTTCTTATCATGGATTTCATTGTTAGACCAATTAAAAATTCATTTGATAACAGTGCTATTATGTTATGCACATAATAATAATAATAATAATAATAATAATAAAAACAACAACAAAATTATAAGTGATTCTAAGCACTTGAAATAGAAGTATTTGAGTTAGAAATCTTATAAAAAAATTTACAAAGTTGTTGAACATATTGATACAAGTTCTATGTTAGCTAATCTCCCTTAACTATGGACATTTTGGTGGTATTTAAAAGCATGTTGAGAATATAGATATTGTGAGTTCTTTTCATGTACTCCATTAGGGAGAGTTTTTATTTTTATTTTTATATTAGACCTTTTATCTTGATTTACATGTATTATGTATTTTAAGTAATTGATAATACACTGAGTTCTTTTTATCATGTATCTTTGTATATACATGCATATTTGTATATATTAATTGCTAAATTAAAACTCAATATTATTAGAATCATATGCTCATGATTGACAATGTATTGGAGTTTGACATAAAGTTAGATGTAATCGGGACTATTGTGCCCATAGTTTATGCTATATTGGAGTTGAGACACAAATATTTTTCTAAAGACCTTATAATTTCTCTAACTTTAAAGCATTTGAAAGACATTACAAGGATAAACCAAATAAAATTATAGTTTGCTTGTTAAATCACATTGACATGTCATCTTTTTGTTACATCGTACACTAATGGTTGGTTAATGGAGTTGGTAATATTTTGTAACCATGAAAAGTTATGTATCAATGTATATAGAATATAATAATTAGGATTGGCACTTGCGCGCTCTCGCTCCCTGTCCTCGCATCCCATGTTCTTCTCCAGGGAGATTTTTTCCCCATTCCCGTTCCCTGCTTCCCCACAGATCCCTGCAAATTTCTCCAAAAATACATAAAAATATTAAAAAATATAATTTCATACTATTATTATAACCTCTATTGGTAACTGCTTTTTTATTTTTATATGAAGGGAGAGTATAGAGTTTCCTTATAATTTTATTTATAATTATACTTACAATAACTTTATATTTTTTATTTAACCATCATCAAATTAAATTATTAATTAAAGTCATATAACAAGTTACATAGACAACTATATAGATTATTAAAATAATCCAACATTGAAAACTTAAACTTGTTACTCAACTATTCTCACCAACAGAGCTTGCAAGATTAGAGAAGAAGACTCTCCAATAAACTCCCCTTCTTTTTCTTTTTCTTCTTTTCTTCTTCCAATCTCTCCCTTTCTTTGTTGTTTTTCTCTTTTCTTATGCCCTCCTATTCTCTTCTTCTCCGCTTTTTATCTTTTTTTTTTCTTTTAAAATCCTTCCCTTCCATTTTGATGCTCTTCCTTTTTTTATAAGGTATTAAACCAAACAAATTTCTAATGTACTTCTCATTTTATTTTTATAAAGGAATGGTCCTTGGTGTTGTTTTTTTTTAATATGATAATGTTTAATTTCTTTATTAGAAGTAAAATTTGTTTATTTCTAATTTTTTTAGATCAATTTTTACTCTTTAGAAAAATAAAAATGTTTATTCCTTTTTTAAATAAGGCAAACAATTAATCAAATAAATAAATTTTTTTAGGCCAAATTTAATATTCACATATATATTATTAAATTATATTTTAATGCATATTGAATGTCTATTTTTATTTTGTATTTAATAATTACAAGAATTGAAATATAGCCACAATATACTGTCAACATAAGAATATGACAACTTCATTATTTTTAAATGGCTAACCACCTATTAATCTTCACCATGTAATTAATCTAATAAATATTTAGACAAATAAATTGAATGGAATTTATACATATAAAATCAATTAGGCCAAATTTAAAATCTAAGCATCACAAAAAAATTCAAATAAATAATTATAATATAAAAAGAATTTTTTATTATATTAATTCTTCATACATATATAATTTTTACACAACTTTTTAAAACTTGTTTAAGAGTTTTTTTTTTTATATTTCACAATGATGTCAACTCTTTAAATTAATCTAAACAAGTAATACATATACTTTGTATGTTTTTTTTCTTAATATTAAAATATTTTATTTTCTATTTATTACTAAATATAAAATACATTACTTTTAAGTAATATCATATATTAGATTTTATTGTAATTTAAGTTAATTGTATAGATTAATATTTTGTTAACTAATTCAATCTACAACAATATAAATATAATTTTAGATAAAATAAAATTAGGTTATTGAGTTTATATATTAGAAATGTTCAAATTTTTAAATTTATAAAAAGAGAAATTTATAAATAAATTAGTAAAAATTAAAAAATATCAAAAGTGTTATTGATAATTAAATTTTAAATAATAAAAATTTGAAATTATTAAATTTTTATAATTTTTATAACATTCATTATATACACAATATATTTATAATAAAATTTGTAATTATTAAGATTTGTAAAAAGTAAGTACGAACTAAATAATGAAAGATGAATATATTTATTTTATAATTATTGATATTTATAAAATATAATTTAAAAATATATTGACAATTGATTAGACATATTTTATAAAAATTATTAAAATTTATAAAATAAAAATTAACATTAATATCATAAAATCAAATAAATTTTTTAAAATGTGATTAGATCATTAGAAAAATTATTAAAAAACATATAAATAATGATAATTAATTAAACTGAATTCATAAAAATTGATTTAAGAATAAAAAATAGAACTACTATGATAAAAAAAATACAAATTAATGAATTTATTTTGTAATTAATGATATTTTTAAAAAATAACTTAAAAATTACTAACAATTGATTAGACATAATTTATAATACATTACAATTAATATAATAAAATTAATGATAACTAATATAAAAATACACATAAAAGATAAGTTTTATAAAATATTTAGTTATATATTGTATATAAATTTGATAAAATAATTTTTTATTTTTATTTAAAATTTAATTTTTTTGACAAAGTTAATTGAAATCAACAAATATATGTATCCTATTTTATTTAATGATTTATGTAAATATTTTTCAATTATTATATTTTAAATGCACGTTTAGAATTTTATTTTTTATTTCTTTTACAAAATTATTTTGAATAAACAATATATATATATATATATATATCTATATATCTATTTATAATTCACTAAAAATTATTATTTAGTGTTTTATATATTTATATTTATATTTAAATAATCTTATTATGTATAAAGTTAACTTATAATTAATCTATAATTATTTATTTATAAAAAACAAAAAAATGTGATTAAATTTAATTTTTTTCAAACTATGTGATTGTTATGAAACCATCAAAGTGAAAAAAAATTATATATGTATATTGTTATTATATGCATGATAGTTTTATAAACTAATTTATTTTCAAATATATAAAAATATAAAAATATATATTATGATTTTCCTTTAATATATATATATATATATATATTATATTAATATATGTAAATTTTAACTTTTTAAAACCAAATACTTCAATAAAGATTTTAAACAAACGTGTATATATTTGACAAATTACTTAGCATATTTAATTTGTTTTTAATTTATATATCTACATATAATTCACTAAAAGTTATTATTTAACATTCTACATATTTATATTAAATATCATATGTATAGTTTAAATTATAATTAATATATAATTAATATAATTTATAAAAAAGTAGATGAAAATTAATTAAATTAATTCTTTCAAACTATTTAACTGTCATATAATCTTAAAACTGAAAAATAATTATATATACACTGTGTTTGTATGCATAATTTTGTAAATTAATGTATTTCCAAAATAACACTAATATAATTATATTATAATTTTTAAAATATATGTTTTATATTTAAAATACTAATTTTTAGTTATGTTTAAAAAATAATTTTATAAAAATTATAAATAAAGTTGTCATATTTAATAAATTATTTAACATATTTTTTTAAAATTTATCATGATGAATAATTGTACTATCCGTTAAATAATATAAAGTATATATTATTTTATTTAAACTAATTTATTTTTAAACAACAAAAAATAATACTATGAATTTTTATAATATGAATTATTTATTTTTCTAATTGTTTTTAAACAAACCCGCGGATCCGTATGTTTACTATATATGCATAATTTTAAATATTTTTGAAAAAATATTTTATAAATCGTAGATAAAAATAACAGGCTCCTTGTTATATGTTGTTTTGGCGGCGCGGTGTGTGCAGATTAAATTAAACGCTGGTGTAGGTTGCCGCTAAGCTGACACTAGACAGCATCGATCGATGGCCATTGAAACGCTTGTGTTGGGTATTTGGTCGTTCCTTCTTTCTCTCCTCTTTGGTGCGAGCAACCTGATTCACAAATTACTTGGTTTTGCACTGTGCAGGCGCTGGGCAAGAGGTTGGTAAGAGCTGCGTGGTGGTTACTATGAACGGAAAGAGAATCATGTTCGATTGCGGAATGCACATGGGCTACTCTGACCGTCGTAGTTACCCCGATTTCACCCTCATCTCCCCCAATCGCGATTTCAACTCTGCTCTCTCTTGCATCATCATCACTCATTTGTATCTTACACCCCTCCCTCTTTTCTTTATTATAATTAGAAAAATGTTACTCACATGCGTTGGTCTTACTATCGCTATTCTTATTTGCATTTCAATGTTTCGTCGTTGTTTGCTTTAATGGAGCAGTCACCTGGATCATATAGGCGCCTTAGCTTACTTCACTGAAGTTTGCGGCTATAACGGGCCGGTTTATATGACGGTGAGTCATTTTCCTTCTCCCTGTTTGATGAAATGTTTACCTGAAATTTGGAATTCTTATAGAATGGAATTTGAATATTTTTAGTAAAAAATTTGGGTTTAGTTATAAATTTTGTCTTTATACTTGACTCTCTTAAAAAGCCCTGCCTTTTGATCTTTATATGAAAGATTGTTTACAAATGTTGTTTACCAAAGTTATAATGCTATTGAATTTGATCCTTATATTTGACACTGTTTTTTGGTTTTAATCTCTTTATATTCTTGACTTTGTTTTTTCATTTTGATACCTATATAAAACTGCTCATCATTTTGGTCCCTCCATGTGTGAAAACTCTGCATTTTAAGTTTTGGTTCCTATTTGAAAAAAATACTCTAATTCTGTTATAACTTCAAGAACTCCGCCTATTGCCCCATGGTTGGTCCCAAGCCCCAGTAAAGGAGGAGGGTTGTGTTAAGCTTTTAGCTGTGAATGTAAATCTTGTGTTTTTATTGTTAACTTGACATTTGATAATTGTATATTTTGTATTGAATTATACTTTGGATTATAGGTTATGTTACATACATTTTGAGTTAATTATTTTTTATGACCTATAGTATTTTTTTATATATTTTATTATATCTGCCATAACCTGCCATGGCGGCCGCCATAACTTTATGACAGTTTTTTGGGTTTCTGCCATGAGTCGCCATCCGCCATTGATAACATTGAGAAGTTTAAGGTTTTAACTCAATTTTTTCTTGGTAAGGAGTTTAGACAAAAGAATTTGTAAGGAGTATAAAGTGATTCTAGGATGGTCCTTAATGTTCGTTTCAAGACTTGTAAACAGCGAATTCGACAAATTATTGATCTAAGAATTAATTGATAGCTACTTAGACGTGAGAAATAGTTAGACTTTTAGAAACAATTAGTAGAAGAGGGTAACTGGGCTGCACAAGGTATTACTTACATCAAGGCTTCGCTTTGAAACCTTACTTGTTTAATCCTAAATATACTTACAAGTGACATACAAAAGATTATCCTTAAGTGCATGCTCCTTGCAAATGACATAGGGTTGTTGAGAATTTAAAAGAAGAGGTTAATGTTAAACTTGAGTTATGAAGGAAGACTTTAGAAATTTAAAGGTTTTCATTTGAATATAAGTAAGACAATATATGTCAGCAAAAAACAAGATGTGTGTTGGAAGTTAAAATTGGAGATGGTACTATATCACAATTTACAAGGTTTCGTAACTTGAGATCAATTTTACGGAAAGATGGGAAAATTAATGAAGATGTTACTCATAGAATATAAGCTGAGTGGTTAAAGTGGAGAAAGACATAATGTTATTTGTGATCGTAAAGGACCTATCAAGCTGAATGAGAAGTTTTACCATATTGCAAACGACCAACTATTCTATATAGTAGTGAATTCTGGATCTTAAAGCAACAAATGAGAAAAAAGTGGGAGTGACAAAAATGAAAATGTTAAGGTTGATGAGTGGTTGCATGAGAAAGGACAAGATAAGAAATGATAGTATGTGTGAAAATATTGGAGAAGCACTTATAGTGAAAATGATGACTGGAAACTGTCTAAGATAATTTGGTTATGTGCAGAGAAGACCTTTGCATGCACCAATTTGGTAAAAAAGGGTAGAGAGAGACCCAAAAGAACCTTAAGAGAAGTTATCGAAAGAGATCTTTTGATTAATCATATTTCTAAAAATTGATCCATGTAGCCAACCTCACCCAATGGGATAAGACTTAGTTGTTTTTGTTGTCTGTTATAACTTCAAGAAATAATGTAGATCAATTTGTTTAATTTTTTTTCATATAGGAATTTTTTTTAATGTAAAGAGTAAAACGAAATCAAAGCCAAGTTTAGGGATCAAATTAATAATTTAACCCAAAATTTGAATACAAATTTTAAAAAATATATTTACGTTTTTGAAAATAGGAAGAAAATAAAGCAAATTATGTTTTATTAAACTGAACAAACTGATCCTTAAGTGTTGGCTTCCAATTAGGAATTCTGCTGCAGTAAATTTAACTTGAATTTTGTTTGATTTTAATCAGTACCCAACAAAAGCTTTGGCTCCTTTGATGTTGGAAGACTATCGGAAAGTGATGGTTGATCGCCAGGGGGAGGAAGAACACTTCACATCTGATCATATTGCTGAGTGCATGAAGAAAGGTAATGTAGGGTCTTCTTTTCATTTATAGTTGCTATATGTTGGTTAGACAACTATTACTTTTAGTTTGGACATGCCATTAGGAATTTTAGCATATATTTTGACTTTATTGAAGTTGGAATTGTGTGCAGCTGTTGTGTTGCAAGGATTTCAAATGCAGAAAGAATAAATATTCTTTTTGTGGGCTATAAAATGTTTTAAGTTATTTTTTAATTTTATAATGTTTACAGATTTAAATTACATGATTTACATTTTTCATGAACTTTAAAACTGATTCGTTAAAAAGATTCTGTATAGTTTATACTTACCAGTAGTTTATTGTTTGTTGGGACTTTTGTTTGTTGGGACTTTAGAATACAATACAGCAGGTTTCAATCCAAAATCACCATACTTCAGACAGTAGCATCTCATTTTCATATCATTTTTATAAGCATCGTAATTTCATTAGTTCCTTGTGCAGTTATTGCTGTTGATCTGAGGCAGACTGTGCAAGTAGATGGAGACCTGCAGATACGTGCCTATTATGCAGGACATGTAAGGCTTTATGAACATTCATCTCTGAAGCCATATTTCATTTCCAACAAAAAGTATAAACAGATATGTTGGCAAATTTTTCATCATTTAGTTCTTGCTTAATTTTGTGGATTTAAGATGATAGTGAATAAGATGTCAAAAATTTTGCAAATCAAACCTTTATATAACAATCAGAATAAGATGAAAGTTTTTGGCAATGCATTTTATAGTCTGGAAGAGGTAGCCTTCACAAAGTTCTAGATGAATGTGTCTGGTACAATCTATATCTTTAGAATAGATTTTTGTTCTTTCATTACCTTAAATTAATGTTTTAGTACTTCAGCTTATTATTCCTCATATTTTATATTGAGGTTCTTGGAGCTGCAATGTTCTATGCTAAAGTGGGGGACACAAAAATAGTTTATACAGGAGACTACAATATGACAGCAGATAGACACCTTGGAGCAGCTCAAATTGATCGACTACGGCTTGACCTTCTTATAACTGAGTAAGAACATCATTGCTTATATAAACAAAGTTATCAATATTGTTGTGATGGTGATAAATGATATTTTTTTACTTGTTTATTGTTTATCTGCATGTGTTACAATTAATCTCATATTGTTATTACTGTTTGAAATATGACTATTCCTTGGCCTGCACCTAATAGCCAACATCTACTCAGATGTTGATCCTCGAATTGTATCTGTTAACTATATCTAAATATGTTATTTAGGGAAATAGTATCTGTGTATTTATAGTAATTATGTAACCATATATTTGTTCTTGATTACGTAACTAGTGATTACCTTTGTTGTTAATATAAAAACACAACCCGTAGTGTAGTTGAAACACACAATTCATCACATGCCTTCTTGTTTTCTCTCATCTTAACATGGTATCAAGAGCCTAACGAGGAGGTGACCCTAATCTGTGCTTTCCTTGTGGGCCCATTGCTCATAGGTGTCAATTTTTTTTTTTTCAAAAACCGCATCTCCAGTTTTTGCTTTTTTTCTTTTTCTGGCAGCCGCCTCCACTGGCTGCCACTGTTCATTGCTGGTGACTTTTCCGGTGTGCTTTTTTTACCAGCTTTTCACCACCACCGTATTTATCCCACCATGTGCAACAAAACCTGGTCACCGCGTCACGAGCAGAGGTCCTACGTGCCCACATGCGCCACCTCCTTCTCTGGCTTCTTTCTCTCTCTGCTGCCACTGCCACTGTCGTGCATGATGGCGCATTGGGTGACTTTTTGACCTCCTTTGCTGACTAGTCACTAGGCTTGCGTTACCGAGATGGTTTTGGATTTGTGGTCCTTTTCTCCCTTCAAGTTTCAAATGTCCCTGTTTGCCCCATTTTGCTACTGTTTGGTTGTTTTTTCTCTCTTCTAGGCTGACCCATGGGGTGACTCCAGCTCCTCCCAAACCTGAAGCTTCTATTTTCACCAACTTTGTCACTATCTTGCCGTCTACTGACAAGTTGGATGGTTGTACCTATGATTCTTGGGTCTCTGATATCAAACTTTGGCTTAAGGGTCAAGATTATCTTGACCATCACACTACCAAGGAAGCAACCGTGGCTAAATGGGGTACGAATGATACTCAACTTTGCAGTATCACAAGTCCACTATTCATCTTTTTGTGAAGCAGATTTTTTGCTCCCATGATACGTGTGAATTGGTTTGGTCACAAGCCAAGTCATTTTACACCAATGTCATATAAAGTCTATATAGAGTATGTCAAATCTCTTACAATTTTACGATTCAACTCCTGATTTTAACTACCATGGTTGAAACACACGAAATTCATCACATGGCTTCTCATTTTCTCTTATCTTAATAGTATCATAAGAAATTTGAACAAGAGGTCGAGAAATTAAGGCTAACTATCTCCTTTTGTCATTATTTAATCAATTTCAATAATGGGGTAAATGCATTTTGCTTACTAATTTGGGTCCTAATTTAACATAATATCTTTAAAATTTTGGTTTTTGACTAAGCTCAGTGGTGTTAAGTGTTCTACGCAGCTGATCTCACTTACTGCGATAAGCCTTTGTTGTTATTGTATTGCAATTCAACCTTAAATGATTTGTACTCCTAGTTTTCTCATTGTCATATAATGCATTTCACTCTAATATATCATATCTATTATTACATTCACCTTTTTATAAAAATTAAGGTTATTTAATTCAAATCATCATAAATGTTAGAGACCTATCTCCTTTCTTCTCTAAAGCACTTCTGGGTAAAAGCACATAATCAATCTTTATTGTGAACAGTCAAGTGTACTTCATAACTTTTAGTATTTAATTTGTTTCTTTTCAAGGATTATTTTGTTTCCAATGCTAAATTAACTCCTAGGACTTATAGGGCTATATTTATTACTATTGAAATAGAGAAAGAATGAGAAAAGAATGAAATTCCATTTATTTCAACTGCACAACAAAGCATATATTTATAGTAATAACTAATAACCATATGTACAAGAGTAAATATGGAATATATAGTTATCAAATAATAATAATTACAAAGATAAACTTTCCTATTATCATAATTAAATATATTTAACACTCCCCTTTAAGTTGGAATATATAAATCACATGTATCAAATTTGTCACATATATAACTAACAAGAGGACCACTCAAGGACTTGGTGATGATATCTATTGGTTGATCATTTGAATTAACAAAGTTAGGGGTGATTTTTCCATATAGGATCTTCTTCCTAACGAAGTGACAATCTATCTCAATGTGCTCTTTGTCCTCTCGTGAAGCACTAGATTTGAGGCAATCTGCATCTTGCCTGATTATCACAGTGTCATTTGCGTAATCTCTCCAAATCTTACTTCTTTGAGCAATTAATTTAGCCAGATAAGTTCATATGCAGCTGAAGCCATAGCTTAATGTTTTGCTTTTTGCACTTGCACGAGCATAATTCTATAACATCAATAATGATGACAAAATATTGTAATTCTAAAGTAGACTGAGTAAGAGGGGGACCTCACATATTTGAAGGAACTAAACTAAAAGGAAACACTACTCAACTAACACTACTTTGGAAGGAACTATGGACATGTTTCCCTAATTGACATGAGTCACAATATAAAGTATATAACTTGGGAGAGACTTGATACCATGTTAGAGACCAACGTGCATTTGGGCCAAATGAGTTGCTAGTGCAAGATAGTGGACCTGGCCCAAAACCGTGGGTAGTTTATGTGAGAAAGAAAAAGAGAGGCACGGGAAATGTGAGTTGGAAAAGAGGGTGAGCTGGCTAGTTAGTTATGCCAAAAGAGAGAGAGAATCGTTTGTTATATGGGGAAATGATTTGTTTAGAGGGGTATCTTTTGCAGTTAGCCTATTTGTAAGAATGGAGAGCCTCTAAGGTTCTTCAACTGAGCCAGGCTCTGAGGGTAGGGAGAGAGTCTCTCCTTGCATTTCTTCTTGTTTCAGTAATTAAATACAATCTCCCCATTTTTCTTCTTTCATTTGCTGCTGCTGTTCTGTGTTTTCTATTCTGATTCTTAACATACTATACATACTATTTGCTGTAACTTTTGAACATTGTGATGACCCAATTGAGCATGAATAAGGAGAGGAGAATCCACCACTAAACTAGCATGGCAGAGGGATGAAGTTGATTAAGTCCATGTGACTCACATTTGGTGCTAATTATTTGTCTTGAACTCTGGTCCTGCAGAAAAATGAAGTCTTTAGTTAAAGAGATGATATAGTCAAGAAACAAGTTAGATGACTGACAGAGAAATAAAGAGTGATTAAAGCAAATGAACAATACCATGACCTTGAGGCTGTGAAATAGAGTAAGAACGAGAGATATAGGATGAATCTTGTGTTTCCAATGTTATCAATGATGGATGGTACATGATAGAATTCACAGAAAAGGAGAAGAAGAACTGGAATCTTTTATTCAAGAATGAAAATCTTGTGTATAATGAGTACCCCGGAGCAAGCTCCTCAGAGAATCATCTTTGCCAATGGTTTTAACCAATTTCCAAAAACTGTCTCCTAACTAATTCCCTTCTGTTATATATATAACAATATAGCGAAGGTGAATAACAGAAAATAACAGAATAAGGAGTCATACTCCACTAACTACTAACTAGACTGCTTCCTTTTCCTAGAATAGACTATCCATGATTTAGCTTTAGTTGCTGGAACATTATTTACAACAATATTAGGATTAGGAGAAGTCACTTGACTCTGAGTCCTAACAGTAAGTCATGGGGGACAGCCAAAAAATTGCCATAAAATTATGGTGGATGCCATAGTGGCTTATGGTGGAAGCATGGTGGTCATAATTAATATAATATATATTAAATCTACAAAAAAAATATTAGAAAAACACTACAGGTCACAGTTTTCTGGCCTATATGTAAAAAAGGATAATACCATGGCTGGAAAATGATGGAAAAGAGAACACAGCCTTTGGAGAAGATGCACATTGAGTGAGAAACAGAGCATTGTTTGAAGAAAAACAGAGCACTAGAAGGAGCAAAATTGATGTAGAGAGAGTGACAAATAAAGCACTGCTTGAAGTAGAAAAACAGCGCAAGGAGAAGGAAAACAAAAAATAGATGATAAAAACCAGGCCCCTCCACTCATAGTCTTCAGAAAACAGCCAGAAAGGATGTCTTCTTTGGCAAAAATGGTGAAGAAGATGAAGAAGTTGGCTTTAGAGAAGAAGGAAGAAAAATATAGCACGAGAGAGAGAACACGTAACATGTAGAAGGATGCTCTCTCGAGTAAAGAAGCAAAAAGTTTTAAGTGGGACAAAAAGTCCATTTTGCCCTTAAAAAAAGGCCCAAAATGACACTATCAGAATTGGACTTTCGCTCCTTTCTCCATTGCGCTACAGAAACACACACCCACACCGAGAATTCATCTATGATTGGGGCGCGACCTCCACAACGAAAGAAATGCTCCGTGATAAGTATGGTTTAGGGTTCCTGGGTCACTTTGGATTGGGTTCAGTCAGATGCCCATTTCGTTTTTTTTTCCCTGAAAAACTAAAATTTAGATGATGGCAGCTGTTGCTGCCAGGCTTAACAGCCACCATGGTGTTGCCATTGTAAATCTGCCATTTTTTTGCCGTTATTGTGGCGGTTTGGGCAAAACCTGCCACCAACATCTGCCATAACTGTTATTTGACTGCTATCGTGGCGGAGTGGCACCCTGCCGCTATTCCATGGTCATCATGTTGCATTTTGCCGTAGCAGCTGTCATGCGGTGAATTGTGGAAATCATGGCCATTGCAGACACTATTTCATGTGGGCAAAAAGCCAACTTTACCCTCCCTTTTTGAACGTTGGATTCCTTTTAAGGGGGGCAAACTTGAGATGTTGCCCCTGTTTTACATTGCTGCTTTCTGTTCTTCTCCTTTGTCTTCAACAGATTGAGCCCTCGACCTTGCTTCCTCCTCCATTTGTGACGTCATTCTCTAGTGCGAGTCACCCTTTCTGACCAAGTTCTGATCTTCTTCATCTTTGACAAAATAAAAGCTATTTTTGAAGTGACCTAGTTGTTCTCCGGTTGTCTTTTTAATCTCTGACAGAACTTTTGACGTGACCTAGATGATTTACGATGACTAACCACTCTGTTTTCTATTTTCCTTTTTTGTTTTGATTTTCCTTCTCTATTTTGTTCCGAATTTGAATGCCTAAAACAGAAGCAATGGCTGTTTCCCCCAATTAGTCACAAGGAACTACACAAAATCCTAACTCTACCTCTGTTTCAGTTTCTTCCTATGCATTAGTGAAGCCAACGGGTAATAACTTGGATATAGGTTGACAATGGGACAGTTTAACAAACATCAATAATAAAAAGCTTTTATGACTTTCGTGAATAAACTACTACTCGCAGTTTTACCTGAGCCAAGAGACATCAAAAGGGAGTGAAGAGAGAGGTTGATAGCTGTCCAATGACATCCAAAGAAGTAAATGAAACACTAATAGTAGCTCATGAAAGAAGAAAAGTGAGAAAGTGGCATATTTAGTTGAACCTGATGAAAATGATGATAGGGAAGAAGAGGCTTAAGAAATTCTGAATATTTGTAGTGGAAAAAAAATACTTGCAACCTCAAATGCTGCATCAACTGATGTTGTGGCTCTATTGCCACCAAAAAAGGGGAAAATGTCAAGGGCTCCTTAGATTTATTGTTCAAGATTTCAAAACGAACAAATTAGGAAAGGCAAAGAGACAAACAAATTTAAATGATGCTTGTTTTAAAGAGACGAGCAAGAGTAACTTGACTTGGAGAGCTACTGCCAATGCAATTAGGACTAGTGAGCCTATAACCTACACTAGACGACAAGCTTGATCAACAAACAAGACAACTACAATTGCTTCTTTCTTTATATCTAAGGGAAAAGGGAAGGAAAATTGTACACGAAGAAGAATAATGTGATGATGATTGATGAGGATTTTGAAGAAGAGGAGGAGGAGGAAGACCTCTACAAATGTAGTGATGACTTAAATGAAGAAGACATGGCAGATCTTGGAGATGAAGATGATGATACCTATTAAAAAATTTGTATTTGAATATTTAGTGATTTTAAACTTCTAAGCATTAGAGACTTGAATTTATTTGGTTCCTTTATTTTGTTGTTATTTACATTTGACAAGTTTTATGTTCCCAAAATTTCACTTTTGATCATTAAATATGTCTTTAATTTGAGTATTAATTTTGTATTTTTCAGCATATATATGTGTAGCTTAATTTATATTAGATATATGATAGGAATTGTGCCCTGTCCTCTAGTGGGGAAAGGTCTACCAACATAGATCCAAGACCATTAGGCCTTAATGTGTGAGGGGGGAATTATTTTGTAATAGAATCCAGAGTTAGGGGCAGATGGGGAAATTTGTAATAAGTTAGTTATTGAGGATGGGAAGAAACGAGAGCTAAATCTGTCATATTGAGTGCTGCTTGTATGGAGAGGGGTATCTGGGATTTGAATTGATATTTTGGGGCATAGAGATTCTCTCTTGCTGGGGGAGCATTGCTCTCATAATTCCTTCATTCTTTACCCCTTTCTATTCTTTCTTCTTGGTATATTCTTGCTCTGCAGCTTCCTTCGATATATAAGAGTCAGTATATTTAAAACTTCAGAATAGCAACCATCTCACTATAGCGTTTTTGGGATTGGCTGCTCTATGTTGCTATTCGAGATTGACTATTATGGTTTCAACTACACAATGGAGCATATATTTGTATTGATAATCATTAATACAAGAATAATTACAGACTATACTAATTATCATAATTACAACTATAAACTTCCTTTTTTTTACCACAATTAGAAGAGGAGTGCTATGAACACACTCTTTAATACAGTGAGTTATTGGATAAAATTTATTGGAAACTACAGAAGTATGAGAGAAAATAATTAAATTATGAGTGAGATCCACATGTTTTTATGATTTTTAATAAATTTTAACTAATAACTAGGAGTGTGTTAGGAAAAGTGTATTAAAGAGTGAGTTGCTAACATTTCTCTATTTGACAATTACTATTATAATTCCCAATACTGACGTTAGTTGTGTGATATAATTTCCTACAGGTACCCTAGTAAAACATCTGAATTGTAAAGGAATGAGTTGCAGGCCCAATATCTAATGTAGACCATAATCCCAAATTAGTGAAATTTTCAGATCATTAAGCTGATGTCTTTAGAGTGTACTCTTCACATAAACAACTTGCATTGCTAATAGTTTGGATGAAGGATTTTAAGGCTAACTGCCTACCTCAAATGTACAATTTGATAGTTTGATATAGTTTTGAATATGCAATCTACAATTGTGTTATGTTTTAATGTACAGTAACATTAATCTATATTACCAGTGTTCTTTTTCTCCAATTGATTGCATTGCTGCTTGGAGTTATAAGACAGATTTTCTTGGATACTTTTTTTATATGATTCTAAAACATTTCGTTTCAGGTCCACATATGCGACTACCATACGGGATTCAAAATATGCTCGAGAGAGGGAGTTTCTCAAAGCTGTATGTATTTGCAGCACTCACTCTGTACATCTATATAAGAATAATACATTGTTGCTCTCGCTTTTTCACTCCTTTTTCTTTTTCAGTTAATCTTGCCTTACTTTTGCTGTTTACATTTTACACTGACCTTGCATTGGTTATAATTAAAGTGGGCCATTTGGTATTTTTGGAGAACTTTGTACTCTTAGTTTGGACCAATATTGTTGACTGGATCAGGATTTGGCTTTTTCACAATGTTGATCTTTAGGTGGCCATTGAATTGGGGCATCTTTGATGGATAATGAGGAAGTTTGGTAGGCCCTTACAGTCAATATATACATTTTTTAGGAGAAATCCATGCCTTATGACCTCTGCTTTCATATTTTCTTTTATCTCCATTTTTCTAGGACTTTTATGGCTTCTTTTGTTAAGAATAGCATAAATTTTATTGTGCTGCATTTGGCTTCTATGCATGAATCAAGATTTGTTTGCTCTGCTGCTTTTCCTGATGAACTATTTATGTACCCAACTATAAGCAAAATGTTAATGATACAGTATTTCTGAATAACAAGTTTTAATATAATATATTGATAGCTTCACCATTTTTTTTGAATAACGAGTCCTTGTGTTTATTCAGAAGAAAGCATGATACTTGGATGCTGTGTTAGCTTGGAACAGCATCAAGTTACATTTTTTCTCTCCTTTAATTTCTGCTTCTCTTTATCAAAATGTACCCGATCCACAATTACTCTTATGTTTCAAATTAATTGATTTAGGTTCATAAATGTGTATCTGGTGGAGGAAAGGTGCTTATTCCAACATTTGCACTTGGAAGAGCTCAGGTATTCTCATTAAGATGCCCATTCATCTCATTGATTGCATTATATCTTTCCATTTGTTATAGCTAATGGATAAACAAACATTCCACCTATAACTTCCAAGTCCATGTTTGGTTTGGTTTAGCAACAACAAAGTCTTATCCTACTAGATGAAGTTGGCTACATGGATCACACTATTGCATTTAGCATAGTCATAAATCAAATTCTTTGAAATATTATTTATTGCTAGATCTTTTTTATTACTCTACCCCTTTTTTGTTAAGACTAAACACGTCATCTAGTCTCCTCATTGGTGCCTCCAGTGACCTTGTTTTTGCATGTGTCCAAACCATCTTAACTAATTTTTTGTCATCTTTTCTACAATAGGTGCTACTCTAATATTCTCATGTATACAATCATTTCTTGTCTTGTTCTTTCTCATATGACCACTCATTGATAATAACAATAATGTAAATAGACCCATAATAAAAGGGGTCTATACTAGGCAGATTAGGCAAAATGGGTCTGTTAATAATGTGCCCAAATGATTTAGTTAGAGGTTGGCTATAAAATGTATTGGACCCAATATGTAGAAGGGAGAAGAGAATTATTGGGATGTTAGGACTTAGGAGAGAACCAGTGCCTCTTTAACTGCACTGGACTCGGCAGATCATTTGTCTGTGTTCTAGTTCTGCACTAAAGGATGTGAAATGATTAAGGGGTTTTTTGCTGCTCACAGGTTATTATAGAAGATTTGTATGGGACTATGGAAAATTAGCTAGACCTCTAACAAAACTACTTAAGAAGGATAAATTTGCATGGTCTCATGAAGCACAAGGTTTTGAAGCTTTGAGGTTTACATGACAGATTTACCAGTCTTGGCTGTACTTGATTTTTCTAAACCCTTCGCAGTCAAAATTGATGCCTCAAATAAGGGTTTAGGAGTTATTTTATCACCATGTGGAACACTAGTGGCATTTCTTAGTCAAGTTTTATCTGGACGTGCTCATCAAAAATCGGTTTGAGAGGGAACTAATGGCTATCATTATGGCAGTACAGACATGGCAACATTATTTAATGGAAAGATATTTTGTGATTCTTAGCGATAAAAAAAGTTTGAAATTCTTAATAGAACAGTCAGTGATGAGTGAAGATTAGTTTAATGGACATCAAATGGTTGATGTTCTATCAAGACAAATGTTGTACTCTGCCATTTCTCAAGTTTTTTGTCGAGGTTTTTTTCACTGGGAAACTGAATTAGCAGCAGATTTAAAATTACAGTAGACTATGCAAGCCTTAGTAGTTGACCCTAATTCTTATCAAGGATATACAATAACCAAAGGGAAATTATGCTACGAAGACATGATGTTACCTAAGACTTCAAGAATTCTACAACTATTAGCTGAATTTCATACATTAGCAATGGGAGGACATTCTGGTATATTTCAAACTTAAAGGAAGTTAGCTACAGTGGTTTCTTGGGAGGGAATGAAATCAGATATTCAGAAGTTTATTGAATATGTGATACATGTCAAAAAAATAAGTACCAGACCTTGGCACTAGCTGGTCTCTTACAACTGCTACCTATTCCTTCTAAGGTGTATCTGATATCTCAATGGATTTAATTTCAGGGATATCATAATCACACCGGAAGGACACCATTCTAGTAGTGATGGATCACTTGACTAAAAATGAAGACTTCATCAGTCTTTACCATTCTTTCTCAGCCAAGGATGTGGCTTATATGTTCATAATGTCAAACTTAGAGAAGTGTAGGCAGAAAAACTGTCTTCTCCTACTGGAGAATTTTCATATATATACTGTTTAATACAAGCTGATTTTCAGCCCAATAATTAGCTAAACGGCTATATTTACATTTATCCTACAACTTAATTAAGGAGAGAATAACAGTTACAATCCTAATTAAGAAAAGAATGACAGTTACAGCTGTACAATACAATTGCATATTAAATGTCCAGCTGTGAATTTGCTGGTTTTAATGACCAGAAAATTTGCTCATCAATTCCTTTGACATCCCCCCTCAAATTGATGCTGGTAAGTCTACAAGCATCAATTTGCCAACAAGAAGATTGTGCTGCTGACGTGTCAAAGTTTTAGTGAAAATGTCAGCAATCTGCACAGATGTTGAGACATGAGGTAGAGTGATAATTTTGCGATCATAGGATTCTCGGATAGAATGACAATCAACCTCAATGTGCTTCGTGCGTTCATGATAAACTGGATTTGCTGCAATTTGTATGGCACTGGTGTTGTCAGCATGCAGCGGAGTTGGTTGGGCTTGAGAGAATCCAAGCTCTGTAAGGAGACCACGTAACCAAATTATTTCAGAGCATGCAGTAGACATTGCACGATATTCTGCTTCAGTGGATGACTTGGAAACTGAATCTTGTTTCTTGCATTTCCAATGAAATTAGAGCATTACCTAAAAACATACACCAGCCAGTAGTTGATTTGCTTGTGTCTGGACAGCCAGCCCAATCAGCATCACTATATGCTTGGAGTTGGAGAGATGAATCAGCAGGAAAAAATAGACCACGTTTGGAGGTGCCAAGGAGGTATCGTATGATGCGGTGTACTGCTGAAAGATGGAAATGTCGAGGAGATTGCATGAATTTACTCATTGTGTGGACAGCAAAAGAAATATCCGGACGAGTGATGGTCACATAGATAAGACTACCAACCAGTTTGCGATATAAAGTGGGATCTGTGAGAAGTTCACCTTCATCTCTGCTATATTTCACATTAACTTCCATCAGGGTGTCAACAGAGGTTGCATTGGTGAGGCCAGCTAACTGAACCAGATCCTGAATATACTTTTGCTGATTTAAAAATATCCCTTTAGGTTGATGATGTACTTCTAACCCCAAAAAGTAAGTGAGGTGGCCAAGCTCCTTCATATAAAAAGTTGAATGCAGCAAGTGTTTAATTTTAGAAATAGCGGCTTGATCAGAACCGGTCACGACAATGTCATCCACATAAACAATAAGCACCAAAATGCCGTTAGAAGTCCTCTGTAGAAAAAGAGACGGATCATATTGGCTTTGTGTGAAGGAAAAGCCAAGTAATGTGGATCGAAATTTTTCAAACTATACTCTAGGTGCCTGTTTCAAGCCATATAAAGAGCGTTTTAGTTTGCAAACAGCATTAGGTGAATGTGTGGACATACCATTAGGAAGTTTAATGTAAACTTTGTTTAATGTAAACTTCCTCCTTGAGGTCCCCGTGGAGAAATGTATTTTTGACATCCATTTGATGTAATGGCCAAGATTGTGATGCAGCAAGGGCAAGTATGGTTCGCACAGTAGTCATCTTGGCAACCGGGGCAAAAGTCTCATCATAGTCAAGTCCATATTCTTGCTTATTTCCTAGCACAACTAAACGAGCTTTGTAACGGTTTATGGACCCATCCGAACGAAGCTTTATTGTGAACACAAATTTGCTGCCGAGAGGTTTAACAGATGGGGGACATGGCACAACATCCCATGTTTGATTTTCTTCTAGTGCTAGGAGTTCTGTCTCAATAGCTTGCTGCCAACACTCATGCTCCATTGCTTGTTTATAAGAAGAAGGAATAGGGACTGGTGATAATGTTGCTGTCAAGGATAAGGGAGAGGTACAACCATACTTTTTTGAGGGTTTACGAGTGCGGGAACTTCGTCGTAGGGGAACTGGTTGCAGCCCTTGTACCGGATCAGCAGCCAAGGAATAATCTTGAGGGGGCCCAGGAGGATCTGGTGGCTGATTTTGAGTGGTATGACTTCGTCTGTGGTAGGTTAAGAGAGGTCTAGATGAAGGCTGTCCTGCAGAAGAGGTAGAAAACAATGGCAAAATAGAAATTTGGAAAGGGAGAGGATCATGATAAGTTACAAAAAAATATTTATTTTCCTGAAAGATGACATTTCTAGATACCCGTATTCGACGAAGGTTAGCATCATAACAGAGAAAACCTTTTTGGTGAAGAGAATATCCAAGAATAGAACATGCAACAGATTGTGCAGTGAGTTTAGTGCATTCTTGTGAAGGAAGATGGACATAATACACACAATCAAAGGTTCGAAAAGAGGAATAATTGGGTGAGTGACCAAATAATCGGATGAAAGGAGAATCATTATTTAATGATGTAGATGGCAAGTGGTTTATAAGGTGAACAGCAGTGGAGAGAGCTTCACACCAAAACCGAGGTGGCACACAAGACTCTAACAACAGGGTGCGGACAACATCAAGCAAGTGGCGGTTTTTTCTTTCGGCTATCCCATTTTGCTGGGGGGTTGAGGGGCATGTCCTTTGAGATATAACACTATTAGTTTGCAAGAAGTTCTGAAAAGAATGAGAAATGTACTCCCCTCCATTGTCAGAGCAAAGAATTTTAATTTTGGAGGAAAATTGGGTCTGAACATAAGCATGAAAAAGTTTGAAAGCAGACAATACTTCATTTTTAGCACGCAAGAAATAGACCCATGTAAAACGACTATAATCGTCAATGAAAGTGACAAAATATTTATAACTTGCACGAGAAATAATTGGTGCCACCCCCCATACATCACTGTGAATCATATCAAAAGGTTTGTGTATGTTTGATTGATGTGTCGGAAAAGGAAGAATTTTACTTTTGCCAAGTTTACAAGGCAATCAAATTGAACAACATGAAGAGGTGGAGACTGTTTATTTCCAAGAAAACGAGTTTTTAACATGTGATGCAGTACATTGGAGTTTGGATGTCCAAGACGCTTATGCCATATCTGATAATCAACAGTAGCAGAATTACAAGAAACAAAAGGTAAAGAAAGATTTGGAGACAAAGGGAAATGAAGTGGAAAAAGGCGTCCAATTTTAGGCCCTGTCGCGATTGTCTTCCTTGATTGTTGATCCTGCACAAGACAACCAGATTTTGAGAATTCTACAAGACAACCATTGTCAACTAATTGACCAACAGAAATGAGGTTATTAGTCAGACCAGGAGAGACAAAAACATCGGTTAGAGATGAAGAAATATCACCAGTTGC